TAAACTTAGTAAGTTACGGGACGGAAGAATTTCACAAAGTTCAACCTGATCACGTGCTTGGTTGAACTTCACGATCTTGTGTTGCATCTATATAATGCCTGCATTTCCACTCCTCCAACCCACACATTCTGACTTTACAAGCGCCAAAATTTTTTCACGCTTCCACCATATCCCGAAGTGTCTTCCGGGACCCAAAGTCGAAAAGCACACAATTCAAGAGTCTCAATTCAACTATGCATTGTGAGCGCTCGAGCATCCATGACGTAAAGAATAAAAAATCCAGGAAAATACGATGGTTTCCAGCAAGGTTCAGAATGGCCGGCAATATTAATGGTGCTCGAGGCTCGTAATACTGTCAAGAATAACACACCGGCCAAGAGCTTACGCCACAGGCTCCTCCCCGATGCCAATCTCAGCCAACCGGTATCTTGCCTGTGTAGTATGCATCGTGCTAAAATAAATTATAGGCAAACTGTCCAATCCCCGATTCAAAAAGATGACCCACATATATCCACGAGCGCAATCCCGCCAGGCAGCTTCGCTATTTCCCTGGCCTTCCAGAACGAGTGTAGCGCACTCATATGCTGCAATAGTCTCGTCCATTACATCCTGGAGCACCTCCAACGCAGTCCTCTCCTCGTACGCCGCGCGGACATGGATGTAGTTCGTCGTCTCCCCAGCCAACTCTTCTTTGTAAAGTCTACATCACTTAGTTGACTAATTTCTGCCTGCCTAATATCCAAAACCACTTACGACAGAATGTCATTTCCCAAAGTAAGAAAGACTCCGATATCACTGATCGACTGGAGAAATGCCGCCATGTCGGGGGATCGCGAGCGTGGGAACAGGAAAAAGGCATAGACATCGCTGACGCCCTCTTTTGTGCGGAAGAAATGGGACCAATTTTGACCACCCTTGCGGGGTAGCATGGTCCTATACTCAGACCGAATTTCCAACAGACAACAGTTGAAGAATGCGAGCGCGCCCTGAATGATGAAATCTGCCACGACAGGATCATACCTTGAATGCAGAAGAGTGAGCCTATGTTGGAAAAGACGCGACCAACGGACCATCTGTATGTCGGAAAAAAGCCATTCAGCTTGCAACGGCTTGGTTTAGCATGTGACCTTGGGGCGGCTTCAAAGTGCTTCAAAGGGGTGGCGGAGGGCCTTAGAACCACTCTCAATCCGTTCGAAGGCTCGATGTGAGTTCCAACGCGTCCCATGCCGTCTCAAGGTATGTGTAGCACAGATACTGGTTACAGGTGAAGAACTTCAGAAGAAGAAAGTGTGGAATAAAATTAATCTACATCAGTCACTCGCACATGTCTTTGTCGACGTCAATCAATTTGAATGTAATGCAGACCGTCCTTGCCCCCAAAGATTGAAGTCACCAGACGATGGCCCTAGCGATTATTAAAATCTGGGGCCTGAGCGAGTGGGGCTGTGGGGCTGTTTCCCAACTTGGAACCCAAGTCCGGTTGTGGAGGCGCAGGACGGTGAAGTGGAGCGGGTGATGTCATTGGGTGATGTCATGAATTTGGGGCGCTTATATCAGAGCGCACTTTGTGACGCTCGTTACGCCACTTCTTTTCCTTCCCTTCCACCACCATCCCCACCCTCCCTCTCATCCAAGGTACGCGCTCTCACTGAAACCATTCATTTAACAACCCAAGACTCCAGCATTTTTCCATCACCAAGTATGTGCTCGTAGTTTCCCTACCATATCCTCCTGACTCAGTACTGCTGGAACACAATCCCCAGGTACAGTTTCTCCGCCGTGCCCTCGGTGGTAGTACTGCTTCAGAGCACGATACCCAGGTACAGTTTCTTCTCTGTGCCCTCGGTCTCTTACTGACTTTGGCATCTTTACACTTAGGTTTGTTCCATCTCCCCTGGTACGTTGACTGTTGACTCGGTTATTTAAATACTGTGCTGATCTTGGTGTTCAGACGGGATCATGCTCATTGCGACTCGTACATAAGCACTGTACTTGATATCTTTGCTTAATATAAATGTTTTACTGCTCCATTTGTGTGCATTGTATCAAAAATTGTCGGAGTTTTGGGTCGATAATGCCCTGCTGCCTGGGCGGGTTTGAGACCCCTAGAAGTAGTTGCAAGGTCATGTAGGCATGACAGACCTTGGAACCCTCACCGTGGCTTGGAAGTGGTTGGAGGATTCTGAACTGTGTGTTGCAAGCCAGCTAAAACCATTTGGCCATGCAATGGCTTGGAACGCGTTCAATGTCGATCAAAGCCAAATAGGATTTTTCCGACATACATTGCCCTCAGGATTTCCGCGTAACATTCCAGAAGCACCGTGAGCTGCGTCTCGCCACTAAATAATCTTTGTTGGAAGACACAGGCCGCCTCTCCCATGGCTTCGATACCGTCGTCGATGACAAATGAGATCCTGGTAAATGATGAGCTCAATGCAAAAATGAAACTATCTGGACTTACCATGTATACATTGCAATATGCACCTTTAGATCAAAGTCCAGTAGCGGAACTACCAGCTGTTGAAAATAAACCGAAGTGAATACCGTCTCGGCTGAACGTGATTTGAACATACGTCTGCATAAGCAATACCGACAAGCAGCTTCTTCCCGTCGGGAGTATTTGGATCATAGTCGAGATTTGACGCGTGTGCATGGGCAACAACGGCGTCACGCAAAGCCTGGTGCGGGCTCCAGGGCTTAGGCTCGTTAGCCGATGCGTTCAAGGAACAGCTTGACTGAGGCCGCGATGGACATGACGTTAACAAATGAGAGGGTAAGGGGCACAAAAGCGAGTCGTTTCTGTTGACGTCTTGGATTAAGAATTATTTGCGCCGGTGGTATGACTCGGAGCTCGTCTTCAGACTACTCTTTAGGTGGGTGGACGCTGCATGAGTTCTGAGGTAGATATGCATTGCTCTTACCAAATATAGAGAGAAGCGTGCTCTACGAATGAACATGCACGGGTTCAGAAGCTGCGAACCGACTCGTCGAGGTAATTTCATGTACCAGACTCTGAACCTGTTAATAGGTCTTCTGCCTCGTGCAAGCCTCGAGGGTGGCCGCCGGCCCCCTGCTCGAGCCTCGAGGAAGCGAGGTCTTGTACCGCTTAATCCTGATCAATTGAGTCAATAAAAACGTGCGGAATGTTTTTCGTCGGACTATTTGGGACGTTGAACGAGCGAGGCCAGTGAATAGGTTCAAGTTCAAGTTGGACTTGACTCGGACTCGGATCAACCCGGATGCTTAATGAGCTAATTATGCCATTAGCCACGCACTTTTCGCCCACCTCGTCATGCAGTGTGCCAAATCCAACCTAAAATATATCCCCTCGCGTTGCAGAGTCTATTCTGAAAAATAATCATATTTGTTTCTCTACAATTACTGGCCCTTGGTTTTCATAAAAATACGCACATTATAAGACGAAACACAAAGCTACTGCGTCAGTCGCATTTATTGACAAGGATTTTTCCCCTTTGAAGTTCAACCATTCGAACTAAAGGTCACGTGTGTTCTACTTCAGAATTCAACCAAAGTAATTAATCTGCAACCTGCTGACGATCTTCCTCCTCCTTGGAGGATATCGCTCCCACGACGATCAAATAAATATTTGATGCCGAATTTGTTGCGAGCATCTGTTCCAGTGTCGAGTTCCAGACGATGTTTGGATGTCCAGCACTTGAAATGAATCATTTTATCGTCCTGGCTGTCCTACCATCCTCGGCATCATGGTGGAACGCGGCGACTGCATCGATTCGGGGGACATGGTCACCATTCATCTATTTCCAACTGCCTGGACTCCGCGGTGCTAAAATTAACGAACCAATTGTAAGCCATGGAAGAAACCTAAAATGACTTGTGGGCGCTAACAGACACTATCGTGGAGCAATCTCTTTCATACATACATCTCTCTCACAAGGAGACGAGGATTCTGGGTCTACCTCTACTACGCTTACTACAAGTCGAAAAAACCACACGGCATCCATGTCACAATATCCTGACTTCACAAACGAGGTGCTTAGTCGCATACCTGGGAACGTGTCCTTGTCGCTGATCTCTCCTTTAAAAGCTGAATTTCCCGGCCTTCAGTGGTCTGCCCTCCGAGTACATTCTGGATAGGCGGTACTACTCTGATCGCGGATCGCCCACGGCACACTGGTGCTTTATCGCAGAGATCAAGGAGAAGGTTCCTTGGCCCACGCCCAAGTATTACAATGTCAGGGACAAAGACGGCTTCGAGTGTCTGGTTTCATTCCATCTGGACGATCGGGCACGCTATCCGACCATCGGTGAAATCTGCAAGGACGGGTACACGATATGCATTATGTACGCCAACCAGCATCACTTCATGGACGGGCAAATTGGTGTGCGTGTGGAGAACGAGCGCAGAGTCAAGGTTCGTCCGCTCACTCCTATTCATGATTCCGACAATGTTCACGAACGCGCACAACAGATTCTTCCCTGCAGTCTCAGAGAGCTATTGGATATCAGGGGCAAGGTAATGAAAAACAGCGGCATTTGTAATGTATGTGGACGTCCTGCGACTCTCAAATGTTCGAGGTGCCGGCTGTTCTATTGCAACAAGGTGTGATCCCCAGCGACTTGCAGCAAGTCATGGCTGCTGATAATCCGAGACCACTAGACATGCCAACTCAAAGACTGGAAAGGCGTTCACAAGCGAGAGTGCAAGGTGGTGCAGCAAATCGTCGGATGGGGGGCATTCGATTGGAATCATTTTGACGGGGGCAAGTTATTTGAACTTGAACCAGCGACCACGGCGCGTACTCCAGAGCATTTACAAAACTATCTGGACAATTCCGTAGTGCTACGTCTTTGAATTCGCGGACCCAGGATTTCTTGATATCAATCTGAGCCTTTTTTGACCCGATTGGCGCCCGGAGCGTTTCAGAAAAAATCAAAGTCCAATGCCGAATAAACCGCCAAATAACCTTAGCTTTGCTTCTCGACCGCATAATTATGTCTTCAGATCACTGGGGCATCACAGCAGCATGGCGCAGTCTGGAAGCGCGCGGGGCCCATACTTATGCATGAAACCCCGAGGTCACTCGATCGAAACGAGTTGCTGCTAGATTCCTGGATTCAATTTTTTTTCTTCCCCAAGCTTCCCCAAGCTTTCGTTTTGATTCTTGTTAGCATGTTCGGAGAGTCGTCCCCGCCATCGCAAATCATGTTCCCCTTCATTCACCACAAGCTCACGCTTCTGATTAATGTATCCACGGTCGTGCAAATGATTTGGAGCGAGTGGACAGAAAAGTCGAATGCCGAATTACCACAGGATCAGGCTCCAAGGCGGGGTGAGGAACTGTTTGGATTGACTCTATCAAGAAATGTAATTTACAGTGAGCTGGGGTACGAGATGTTCCGTATTCCAGCGATAGCACTTCAATCGAAGACTGAACTCGCATGGCCGGCCTTATTCACGACTTGCCGCGAGATCCTTCGAGAAAGTGCATCAATGAAACAAGTAGCTGAAAGAGTAAAAAAGAAGCAGCAAGAAGGTAGATACAGGGCGGCTCCGAGAGCTTGATTCAAAAATGTGGGTCGGGCGATGGTTGGGCGCTTCAATTCTAACTGTCAAGTGTGGAGTCCATATAAAACATGTGTGGGATGTAGAGATTACTATGGAATTCCCCGGGTGAAATACAATCGGATTTTCGAGGACACCACGCAATCTGTCAAGCGTGAAAGTACGAGAAATGAGTGCTACTATGCATGGGAGTCCCGAGATCACGAGAAGACGAATTCCGAATCAAAACAAATGCCTAAGTTTGCTTAGGATGCGCGAGTCGTCGTTATTTCAGTGCGGTGTCCACTTTCAGTGAAAAATCAGCCTTCAAGAGCGGTGATTTCCTGGCAAAGCTGCGGTCGGTAAAAGTGCGCACCTAGAACGCGCGCGATAGTCGCTGACGACACCCTAATGTGTCATAATATGGGCCCGAGTTTGGCCCGAGTGCTCCCTGGAAGTTGTCGATGACTTGGAGCCAACTGGAGACGTGAATCGGATGAGAGAAGAGAACAGTTCTTCGTCAACTGTATGATGCAGCTTGAAAATATAAGTGACTCTAACCACTCCCTGGTCTTGTTGGCTCGCGCGACTGTGAAGACTGGGAGGTGGAAGAGAAACGCGTGACGTCATGCGCACGTGGTCGCTTGATCAGCGCACGTCCGAGTCACTCATAACTTAACTTGAGGTGCCCATGCTGGAGGACATTTGGAATGAATACAAAGTATATTTCCCTTCAAAAAGCCAATAAAAGTACAATACAAACGAGCGCGTACATTTGGTTGGATCATCGCGCCGACTCGGAGGCGCTCACCGTAAGCCCGGGGCCCAACGGCAAGGGAGTACGACTTCCCCGGGAAACTCCACACAAAAAGAGACGAGCAACAGAGCACCTCGACGCGCCAAAAGACTCCCCACCCTCTAATCCAGCCCAGCGAGATCGGATCGAGTTGGTGGAGGATCGAGCCTGGTCCGAAATCCACCCTAGCACCTTTGCTCAGAACCTCGCCATGTTCCCGCCGTGTCCAGGAGGCGTCATAGAGGCAGCGGCACCCCGAAGGATTGTCAAAGTCTCTCAGCCTAGTAGGGAGCATTTGAAGATTGCGCTCGGCACGAATGCAGTCACCCCCGACTCCGGTCAGTTCTAGGTCTCTATTATAGATCACCCGGGCAGACAGCGCAGAAGGACTTCGCTCGCCGGAGGCCCTCCCTGATGGATACACGTTGTCAGCGCAGGCTCTGAGAGGATTCGGGTATGGACCGCCCGTCTACAGAGAAAGGTGAGTTGAGCAGGAGGGCGGCCACGTACAAGTTTGGACGTTGAGGGACGCGCCGAAGGAGCGGGAGAGGTGGACGAGCAAGGTGGGAGAGTTGAGGGGAAGATGGGCGTCGAGAGTAAGGAAGATGCCGAGTTGTCTATGTGGCTGACATAGTGATGTGCTGGCTTGGCTTGGCTCAGAAACCATGGCTTGGGCTTGGCTTCGTCTGGCTTGGGCTTCACGCCAGCAAGTCTGGCCTGGCGCTGGCTTGAACTATGGCTTCAACCGAGATCACTGAATGTTCATTTTCCTGGCTTTATAAGACTTCTATCAGTGATTCTTCATGCCTAGGATGTTGAAACGACCCATGCTCCGGCTTTCATGCTTCATAATGAGACAACTTCAATTCCATATTCCAAAAAAGGTCATCCCGATAAAAAATTGAATCTCTGTTGAAATAATAATTCCTGATAAGTTTCGAACTAATGAGCGATTGTTATTTTCGTTGCCAGATGGTTATCCCAGACGACTTTCCGGCTCCAATTACACATTCGCGACGAGAAACTGAAGCTCTGGCTTGGCCTGGGAAATCTGAAGCCAGAAGCCCAAGTCAGCTCAAGCCAGAGGCGTGGCCTGGCCTGGCTTGACAAAGCCATGGTTTGGTTGGTCTGGCTTCTGGCTTTGATGTCACGAGGCTGACATGTTAGGCTCCGAATCGCCGATTGACGAAATGTAACATTTCCCCCGAGTTCTCCGAGGGCAGTGCTCCGGAACATAGCCGGTCCATTGTCCCGAAGCCGCCAGTTCAAAACCACCCCAGAAGTACTGTCAAGTTTGGAAGAATCCCCAGAAAAAAAAGAAAAAAACACCAAGCCAAGGAGAAATTATGCAACTTACGAGGGCGGTTGGGCGGATTTGGTCGACGCGAAAGGAGACACTCGCTCGGCCCGCGGGAACCGGTGTGTTGCAGTGCTTGGTTTGGCACGGTGCACTTGGACGCATTTCCTTTCAGTGCCACGGCCATTGCTCACGAGTCCAACCAAGTTCTTCCGACCGGAATCCGTGCTCGTCCCCATGCGTTGCAGGGACAGTGATCTAGTACGTGGCTTTTGAGCATTCTAGCCATGATTGATGCTGCCAGTGTAGTTTTCTCGCAACCTTACTTGATGGACGTGTTATGTTACTGTAACACTATTTCAGCCGCATTATGAATCCTCCGGCCAGTTTTGTTCGGGAAACCGAATGAGCTCCTTATCCCGCTTTACACTGGTGAGGAACTTGATCCAGCCGCAGACAATATGTAGTCGTTCATCGGCACGCAGAATTATGTGCGTGAACTAGATTTTATTGTTTCACGCGGCTCACTCCTTGCGCAAGTGTCTTAATCTGTAAGCGATAACTTTTTTCTTTCAATGCTGTCCCTTCTCATAAAATAACGCCCTCGCATATTGCACACTAGTCTGACGCAATGTAGTACACGCCGTATCGTTCTTCGTCAAGCATAGTTGATGAACGAGCATCAGTAGCGAGTCAGCCACTGTCTCGTCTGTACTGTTCTCACGCAGTATGGACCGCAACAGCCAACATAGAGCTCGTAAGCATCATGTTTTAGTGTGCACTATTCTGCAGCTGATGTACGCATGTCTAAGACCCTTCTACATCATCCGCAGCATTCCTTAAGGGTGCACGAATGGCAGGAGCACAGACATTCCTCGAAACGCATTTATGTGAGTGGAGTGCTGCGGTTCGCTCTGGACTGATCCCGAGGGGAACACAGCATCAGGCCGGCACGATATGTTCAAGGTGAGAAAAGATGGAGGTCAGTGCTGTGACTCGAGGGCAAAAGCTTATTGTGACCTATTCGCACTTCACAGAAACGGCGTGTGTGACCGACCACTCGCGTCCCTTGAAACGTACGATCTTATCTCCTTCTCAGGCGCTTTCAAAAATACCCAGAAAAAATACAAGGAGCTTCTCTATGGAACGGCATGCATATGGGTCTCGGAGCGGTCGTCGATTGGATGCGGGGTGAAGATTCTGAACTTTACCGGTTCCGCCACCGTCCTTCTAGTGATCATCAAGTTACTGACAGCTCTTCGACGCCGTTCGGAGGCTTGTACCCTGTACGAGTATCTTTCCAAATCAAGGACATCCCGGTGTCCCGTCGGCATTAGAGTGAACATAGCTCGGCAGCGGATTAGCTGACTATCGCAAACACAGTGTCAAAATATTGGAAACGCCAGGTACAAGGTGTGAGTGTTATCCGCCATTGTTCTTGTTCACAATGATGACAAAGATAAGAACAAGATACGATGATCCGAGTGGGAATGCCAAATCCAAGCTACTGGTTGAGGTTGACACCGCCGAAGAGATGATCGCCGTGAGCGGAGCAGTTTAACAAAGGACCAAACCTCCGATTTGCAGGTAGATTTTGATTCAGATCAAGTTCAGATCCATTCATTGAAACCACTCCACGTCGAATTTCGTCCACTGATCCTTCCGCACTGAATGGAGGTCAGAATAACCTTAGTGGTTCTTTAGGGACGTGTGGGCCGCAACTTCGGGTCTCCTATTCGAGTCAGACCGACCGCTTGTATCCGACGCCAAGCTTTACCAAACTTCGAGTACCGCACTGTTAGCCTAACCGTTGACCAAGTTTGCGCTTTCCCTTTCAAGCCGTTAAGCCGCTACCAGTACGCGTAATCCTCCGTGTACGAAGGTAGTGCACCCTTCAATCTGGCACAACTTAAAGGTTCGTGCTTCGATTAGCCTTTGTTCACTCTCCGGTGACAAGGGATCCACGTTCTACTAGTCCCCTCGGAGCGGTTTCTCCGAGTTCGCTCCCATGTACGCCAGTCACAGATAATATGCGGAGTCTGCTATCGGTATGACATCGGCGGTCGGTCATCACGATCTGCATCCGTCTGCCACTGGTTTTTCCTGATGTGATCTCACCATATTTCTTATGTCTATCAACTTGCTGCGACCAACCGCAAGCCGACCCATCTCTGTCTGGGCGGTAACTTCTGGGGTAACATTTGTGCCCACCTCGACGGGTGTCGTCGCTAATTTTCATAGGATCTGTACCCCGTCACTCGGAATGTCGTTATTCTTGTGGTTGAAACCTTGGCGCGCGTTACCGAGCGCCACAGCGCTATGGCGCCCCACGTGAACCGGATTCTACGTCAATTCGCGGGTCTCTCATTGCGTGCATGCGGCAACTCTTCTCGACAACGGCGCAGGCGATTGCGAGATGCCACGTACCGGGAAACCATCGACCTCGCAAAAGCCTTGGCATCCGCTGTG